GTAATGGTGATTCAATACAACGAAGGCAGACCTAAAAAGAATCTTTAGGGTAAGATCATGCAAAGGAGATATTCAAATCCGAGCATTTAGGAGAATTAACATATTTTTATTTATGTTTATCTCCAATAAATCCTTCTTCTTCACCAATTATTACCACCTCTATCAAGACCAAGAGAAATCCGAAGCGAGGCTAATTCAGAAATTAAGCGAGCTCTAGAGATGGAATCTCTGTTTTCTTCTCCTCAAGTAAGGTAGATTTATTATATACTAAGAAAAACCTCAAACATAATTTCTTCTCAACTTATCATTTCAATACGAAGAGATAGACAACTGTGGAGCGTACGCTCGGTGCTCGACGAAATGTCAACACTGACATGTTAATTGAAAAATTGACATTAATTCCCAAAAAATTGACATTAATTGACATAAACGTCTCTACTATGTTTTCTTCAGTTCTCTCTCGCTCACAAGAAAACAAATAAAAAACTAACTGTTTTTTTCTTCTTTCTTTTCTCATTTTCTCGGAAGCGAAAGCGAGGACGAAGAGACCCACCACTTTCTCGAGAAAATCCTGACGGATGATTGTGTAACCTGGGTTGAGATGACGACACAGAGTTCAGAGAAAAGTGACGACAAGAAAACAAAAAAGAAGATTGGTGATGCTTACAATTTTGCCAAAGGTTTCTTCGACAAAGCTGAGCGTATGAAAGCCTTGGAGACGACCGAGAAAACGATTTCTGATCAAGGGACGAACAAACTCTGTTCTCGTCACCACCACCTGCAAGGTGATATCTTCTTTGAGCTTGTGAGAGAAACAGATYCCACTGACATGAAATGCGTATACTTGTTTGCTTCTATTGATTCTTACTCAACCTCTACTCTTCGGTGTCTTGAAGCTGTAAGCTCCTTTTATGGTTGTGCTCGTTCATTAATCGAGCTGGGTGATCAGCTTGGGATTAGCAAGTTTATGAGAAAGCTGTGTCCAAGGCAAACCGAGGATTGTCCATAAAGATGCTTAAACCTCAAGAAAATTCTCTAGTCATACAAGATTCGTAGACAGAACCGTTTCAGGCGTTGGTAAATCTTGCAACAGAGAAGATGAGTAGCAATGCGTCTTTGACTGTGTCTGATACATGTATTATGGCTTTGACTGTGTCTGATACAAGTAGTATGGCTAATCAGATGGAATCGGGAAAGAAAGAACTGGGGAAGGGAGATCTTTTAGTTGATCAATTGAAGAACTTTTGGGCTACACTAAATGAAAAGACCAAAAGGGATTTTTTGGTAGTAGACAGTAGAAAGCTTATAGACTATATACAAAATAAGTATGGCAAGGAAGTAAAAGGATATTTTCGGAAATGTATATGCGTAGATGAACATCGATGGAGATGTTGGAAGTGCCACATTTGTGCTCAGGTGAACTACTGTTTTACAGATTGCAAGAGGCACATCTTAGATAACCATGTGCAAAAATTTGTACCCCAGTCTGGTGCTCGTCCTAAGTGTGTGGATAAGGCTTTGGCTAACATGATATGTTGTGGGAACTGGGAGCCGGTGGATACAGAGGCGATAGCAAATTTGATCAAGGGTAAAACTGAGCGCGGGGAAGAGTTTGTTTATGTTAATGGATGGTAGTGAGTGGCCTGTAGTGAAGGATGAAGACCGAAAAAACAGACTCATACAGTTTGCTCAGGATCTTAAATCTTCCACTAGAATGGTACTCTTTCACGTGCCCTTTGGGACTTGTTAATAGATTACACATAAGAGAATTTGCAACTACCTGAAGTTCCTGGGAGCTATCTTGACAAATGCAACTTCTTTAATACATCCCTCAGTGCATTTGCTTCTTAGATTTGAAGCATCTTGAATACATCCTCAAATATTTTAGAGAACTCACCACAGATGTTTGCAGGACTTTAGTTTCAACACTAGTGAAACGGCTCTGGGAAAATTCTCTCGTCAAGGAAAGAATTTATCTTGATCGAGTAACTCTCAATCTGCTTCTGGATGAGAGACTGCTGTATGAAGGAGAGTGTAACACCCGATCCCCGATCACTTTGAGCCCTAGGTCTCGTGCCCTAACTTGCTCAACAAGCAACATACCTGCACACACTAAAAAGAAAAAAAAAAAAGATGAGCAATTCTGGGAATAAATTACTCAGTGCGGAAGTTACCCACAACAACTCTAATACTTGAAAACAATAAGCAATCAAACACATTAATCTAGAAATAGAACATGCATCACCCAACTTATTACTAGCAACATAACATTCATACCTAACAATTCTACACCATAATCTCTTTTACTTATACATTATCATACTTAAACATTTCACCTTTGACATTCTTTACTTTTCACATTCTTTACTTTCTTTCCTTTTCACATTTTTTTAGTTTCTTTACTTTTCCTAAATTCACGGCGGAGCCAACCCCTTTCTCGCGTTTTGGGTCTGTCCTCCCCGTCATGGTCCTCTAAGGCCTAGACTACAATGGGCTTGCATACGCGATCGTCCGTAGTCCAACAAGCAAGTTCTGCAACGGGCTTACATACGCGATCGTCCGCAGAACTATATATCCTATCTACAATCTCAAACAATTCATTTTAAATCTTTATCAAATAGTTTCCACACCTCAAACAATATTACAAACTACCACATAGCAACCAGCAAACATCAAGTATCCCTAGACTTAGCATATATAACCAACAACATCACATTCCATCCCTAGACTAACATGTAAGAACATCTACTGTTAAATAGTATTAAAGTAATGTAGACAACACCCGCACCTTAGCCACTTTAATGAAGAAGAACAACTCGCTACTCTGTGCACTGCACTTGGACAGATTCGCTGTCACAACTTTTACATAACACTTCCTTATGCTTTCCAAGCTCAAATATGTTTTCCTTCCACGGAGAGTTAGGTCTATGTGTCTCCAACATGTCTACAAAGATTTAGCTCGATCCAGATTTATTTGCTTATCCAAACACCCCATCTCAACAGACTCGTCGGGTATGAGCGCTGCATAGGATAGTCTATGTAATTCAATCATATCTCCCAAACTACCACAGATAACACGAAGATATTTTACAGACGCACATATAAGAAGGTGGTGAAACTCCTTACCAAAATTCAGCATCATCAGATCTCTACCAAAGCCGCGACACAAAATATACTCTGACGGGTCATTGATTCGCACTGCAGATATCAACTCCAAGTAAATAACCATAACTTTCATATAACAAATCCAAATGACAATTCGATTTCGGATTAGGGTAGAGTCATAAAGGTTCTTACAAAGTTCCATATCGATCAGACCAAATTTGATCCTCGGTTTCCATTCCCAAACGAAACTGGTCAAATCTGTGATTGTTTACGGTTTAGGTCAAGTTGCGTGAACAGAACGAAAACGTCATAACTTTCACCACATACATTGGATCAAGATAATCCTGGAATTTCTGTTAACATGAGACTCGGGGCTTTCTATCGATATGTAGATTGTCTCATAGCACCTTCAGATATGATCGTAATATGTCTCACAAAGTCCCTCCGCAAAACTGAAACAGAACTGCAGTTAGATTAGATTCGATCCCTCAAATTAAAAAGGCGATATCTCGCATCATATACCTTCAAATTGAGCAAAGCCGGAGGCGCTGGAAAGCTGCAAAGGGGATCTTTCCAATGGTATAAAGGAAGAGGCCTAACACTCCCGGAGCTGACCAGAAAAGGCTCTGCAACACCATCTCGAGTCTGTTTCTCCTTCCGCCTTCTCCTATGGAAGCTCTCTGCTTCTCTGTTTTCGTTATTTGCTTTCACGTGGGGGCTATGTTTGAGTAGTCTAAGTCTTGACTAGATAACTAGGGTATTTAGAGATAATGGGCTCTTTGGAGAGAACAATTGGGCTATGCCTCTTAAACCATATTTAATGAACCTTTACTTTGGGTTTAAGAATTTAAATCAACTGAGATTTTCCTTGATCCATTTTGCATTCTCGGTCCAAAAATATTTCCACGCCAAATTTAAAAATGTCCGGGATACGATCGTGACAGAGAGCATCATTTCGATGAGATAGAGACAGTAAGGACTTTTGAATCTAGTGGAAATTATGAGCATGTGATACCTAATGGTGGTAAAATCGTCTCCTGGATTCTAGACTGCCCAGAAATCGATGAGAAATTTATGTCTCAAATGGCAAAGGGCGTACACAATCTTGAGATATGGATAGCGGCTTTGAGAATAGTACGGTGCACTGCTCGGAAAGAGAGAAACTACTATGGTAAGAGAAACAAGCTACTTACATATGGTAAGATTTTGCAAGAGGCTGAGACCCTTTGTGACAGAGAAGACAATAGGAAGAATGATAACCAGCGGAGCAGATATGCGTTGTGAGGAGCGTGTAAAGCAAGATGATGCTACCAAATGTTTCTTTAATGTTGTAAGAGATGTTTTTGAAGGAGCAGAATCTCCAAGATTTGAGGTATTAGAAAACAAGGAATATATGGAGTGTATATTCAGACTTTCTGCTAGTGTGGAAAACGTTGCTGTTAAAGAAGGACTGTTGAAGCTAAGAAACTCGCTGAAAGAGAAGGTACTCA